CTGAATGTCCCAGAATTCTGTGAATCAAAGGTGGACCCACAGTTCTCATAGACTTCTTGTGTTTGAAGATGTGTGTGGTCTTTTGTTGCTCCCCAGTAGCTGAGGGCACAACTAGTCATACCATATTTGGGGAATTATAGGGTAATCTTTTTTTTTTTAATTTTTATTTTATTTATTTATTTTTGGCTGTGTCGGGTCTTAGTTGTGGCACGCGGGATCTTTTGTTATGGCGCTCAGGCTATTTGTTGCGGTGCGCGGGCTTCTCTCTAGTTGTAGCGTGTGGTCTCCAGAACACACAGTCTCAGTAGTCATGACGCATGGGCTCTCTAGTTGTGGTGCACAGGCTCCACAGCATGTGGGCTCTGTAGTTGCAGCACGTGAGCTCTCTAGTTGTGGTGCACAGGCTCAGTAGTTGCGGTGTGAGGGCTTAGCTGCCCCACGGCATGTGGGATCCCAGTTCCCCGACTGGGGATTGAACCCACATCCCCTGCATTGGAAGGTGGATTCTTAACCACTGGACACCAGGGAAGTCCCTGTAGGGTAATCTTAATCTTCTTTCTTTCTTTTTTCTTTTCTTTTCTTTTCTTTTCCTTTTTCTTTTTCTTTTTTTTCTTCTTAATCTTCATTGTACTTCCCGTATACATTTTCAGAAATACTTCACTGGGAAGTTATGTCTGTCTGTGTTGGTCTAGGTGTGAGTCTTTGTGTCTGTTAAATTGCACTCTGTTATAGTTCTGAAAGCCCAAAACTAACTTGGTGACTTTTATTCTGTTCTGGAAAGGGAAGGGCTCCAAGGATGTGTTTCTGTAGAGATGTATGTTTGTGTTCAAAATAACCTCTTTTCTCCTTGCTGTTTTGAGGCAGCGAGTTGATGTCATTTTTATTTCTCTGGTCTTAAGCACTCAAGGAATTTATTTCATATAAACTTGAAACCTTGTAAGTTTGCTTTTTTTTTTTGAAAGCTTAGGTCATTAATGTTTGCAAGACTTCTGACTTGACTAATTTGCTGTGTATGTTGTGGGGGAGGGGTGCATGTTTGTAATGAGGGGTGGCACTCTGTACAGGGTTGTCTTTCTCTGTCTACCGGAACCAAATGAAACATCTAATTTTTTATTCTCCTAGGAGCTGGGAAAATATGGTCTGCTCTATTACAATGCACTGTTCATGATTCTGCCCACCCTAGCCATTGCATATTTTACGGGAGATGCGCAAAAGGTAGGACTTTCTAATTATGGCTTCATGGTGTATGTTTTTGAATTTTATTTTTATTTGTATGACCAAGAGATAGACAGTTGGGTTGTTAAAAAGTAATGATCTTAGTAAGTGACCAAAGACTGAGAATTTACCTTTTAGCTTGTTAATGTCATGCTAACCTTTTTGGATAGTACTAAAATAGCTTAAAATAGCTCTGGCTGTCGACGTAAAAATAGTGCATGCCAACTAGTGTCCTTCTCTTACGCGCCAGAAGGATAGAGGAAGGGAATTTTTACGTTTCTCCTAAACTACAAAATAGGAATAGTAGCAAACTATCCTTGAGAAACAAAGAATCCAGAAGTAGTAGAATTCTTCAAACCTAACAAAACGCTTGTTATCCCTAGAAGCTCTCAGTTTTGGTGTACAATTGTCATCCTGGCTTAAATCCCAAGCTGTTTTTTCCCCTCAGGAGATATTTAGCCGTGTGGTGACTTAACCATATAAATAGCAACGAATATAATAGTTTACTCATTTTCTGCAAATGTTTAGCTAAATAAATCCAGAATAAAGTAGCAAACTAAATCCAGACAAGAATTTTTCTCTGAAACACATATTCATAGGATAAAAATTGGTAACATTTTGTTAGAATTCACAGAATTTTGCAAACTTAATGGAAATCTAGCATTCTGCCAAGGATTTCGGTACCAAGATTCCTCCTAATGATTCCCCTGGCTAGTAGTTTCTTCAGAATAAATGTATTGATTGTTTCTTATAATGACAGCGACAAGTTCCCCAAATCGGTGGGGACCAAAATAAAGAAGAGGTTTTTAGAAGTAGTTAGACTGTTAAAAATTGTTCTTGAATCAGAGGTAGGAGAAGACTGCTTATAAAGCTGTTTTGTTTTTTTCATCAAGAACTCTTTCTTTTAAAACTGGCAAAGAACATATGTAAATGTTTTAATGAACTGTGACCTGGCTATCAGCAGGCCTAGAAATGACTCCAAAGCAGGAAACTACTGTAGAGGTGTTGCTCTAAAAATAAAGATGTTGAATGAGTTTTTTGTGGCTGTGAAAAAAGTGGGAAGAGAAACTAACATTTATTGAGTCCCTATTATGTGCTAGTCACTTTTTATATACAATGTAATATAGTCCCCATAACAGCTGTAGGAAGTTTGAATTAACCCTATTTTACCAAGGTGGAAATAGAGGTTCAGAGAGACTGAATAACTTGCCCAACATCAGACTGTCAGCAGGTAATAGAGTCAGGATTTAAACCCAAGCCTGACTGCAGAGGCCATGGTCTTTTCAGTGTTCTGCCTCCTCTAGCTGACTCTAGCAGAAGCACCCTTCACTCTTTAGTTTGGGGGTAAGAATGTAATGTAAAATAACCAGGTATCCCATGGCAGCACAGATGATTCCAAATCTTGAGGCCAATCTGTACATGAGAAAGTTGGAAGAATTAATGTGATTAGGTATTCTACAGACTTGGCAAAAGTGGAATTTTCATTAATTTGAAACTTTGACTAGTAGCTTGTAGCTACTTGAATACATTGACTGAAGGAGATATTTCTTCATTCCAGAGTGATGATCATTTAACTAGAAGTTATCTGCCAGGTTGTAGCAAAATTCATGCATATTTTGAAGTTCACTAACACACTTTCAATTTTAAATGCTTCGATATAATTACAGGTGTTTACCCATAGTGGAAAAAACGACTTTGCCACCTATATTGGGATGAGATTTAGATTTTACTCTTTTATTCTTCTTTTCTTCTTTTTTTAAGCAGAGGAGTGGAATTTGAGTAATCTTTTTGTTTTTTCCAATGCAGATGCCAAGCAAAGGTCAAGAAAGGTTTATTTTGAAAGAACAATGTTTTTTAAGAATGACTGAATTTATCTAAATGCTTTCAAGTTGGGATGATAAACTAATTATGGAGGCTAAACTCATTGCTTTGTGATCAACCCCATCAGTGTTTTGGGTTTTACGTAAATGTCCATCCTTATTATTAATTAATATGATTCTTATAAAATACTTATTGGGGTACAGATGGACCTACTGGCTGGCAGGCTTACAATCTCATGCTCTTTTTCTTAACATTCTCTCCTTGACATACTCTCCCTCTAACATTCTTGAATAGTTATTAAATGCTATTGTGTGTCTCACAGTGCTAAGCTCAGATGATAAGAAAGAAGGATGAATTAAGTGGTATTCTTGCCTTTGAGGACCATTTAGTTGTCTTGGAGAGCAGACCTGTCAACATCAGAGTTGTAATTGTTACCGGTTCTGTGGGAAAGGTGTTGGGGTCATTGTGGGTTGGAAAATGGAAGTGGGTCGATTCCATCTCCTCGTTGGAGAGGGAATGCCTATCTCATGGAGCTTTGCCTACAGAATGAAAATACAAATGATATGAATAATCAGTATTGTTTGGTAGGTTATGAATTAAACTTGGAACTTAGGAACTCCAAGAATTCTGAGTTTTATTCTGTTCCTAAATTCCTTTCTTCCTAAATTCCTTGTGTGCTTACTACAATTTTATTTTAAGTTCATTTCAGATTCAGTCAATTCAGTATTACTGAGCATCTTCCTTGTGGTAAGAAAGCCCTGTGCTAAGTTCTTTGGGGAATAGATGAGAAATACAACATAGTCCTTGCCACACAAGAAAGACATTTGACATGCTAAAGAGATGGTGTAAGATCCAGCACCAAAGTGCATGCCCGTCAGTCAGTCAGTACTCTTAAGTATTCAGGTTAGGAAGAAACTGGTGTGGGTTAAATATCAAGCTTGGATTTTTAGAGGAGATAGGGCTTGGTTTTCTTACCCACCAGCTGCAACAAGTGATGCTAACCTGTTCTGGGGGTTGTTGTTAGAGATATAACTTATAGAAGTGGTTGAATAGTTTGCTTTTATTAATCAGCACAGAAGCAGTGGGTGGAAGCCATAGATGCCCTAACGCATCCTAGAGGCTCATGGTATCCTACAAGAGGTTGCAGTTGATTTCTTCCACTGGAAGGTTCAGTTTCATAGTAGTCAGTGGGTTGTTTGTCTGAAGTTCTGGCAAAAAGGGTTCACATTACAGAGTGGAATATGTGGCAGGATTTCAGGTAAGTGTTTTCTAGTAAGTCAGGTTCATATTCAGTGTGTCTTTTAGGCTTGGGTTTTCCCTTCAAAATATGTGTACATATAAGTGGACAAACATTCATGTATGGGCATGTATTTTTTGGCATGACAGTTTATCTTTTTTTAAAAAATTTTATTTATTTATTTATTTGGTTGTGTTGGGTCTTAGTTGCAGCAGGCGGGCTCCTTAGTTGTGGCATGCAAACTCTTAGTTGCAGCATGCATGTGAGATCTAGTTCCCGGACCAGGGATTGAACCTGGGTCCCCTGCGTTGGTAGCACAGAGTCTTAACCACTGTGTGCCACCAGGGAAGTCCCAACAGTTTATCTCTAAATAAAGCTGTTCCCATGTTAACAATTTCAGTCTACTTCTGACCTTCAAGTAACACTTCACCTATAGGGTATGATGCCTTGTACAGTGCCTGATAAGATGCTTCCACATTAATCATTTTCCCTAATCCTCATTGTGTACCTGTGTGGTAGGTTGTTATCTGATATACAGAGGTTAAGGACATGCTTGAGGTTACATGGTGGCTGAGTTCAGCACTAGAACCAGTCTTTCTTTTTTTTTTTTGGCTGCATCCTGTGGCTTGTGGGATCTTACTTCCCTGACCAGGGATCGAACCTGTGCCCTCGACAGTGAAAGCACAGAGTCCTAACCACTGGACTGCCAGGGAATTTCCCTAAAACCAGTCTCTCTGACTCCAGGGAGATCTCTTGCTGTTTGCCTGACCACATCTATCTCCCAAAGCCACTTGCTGCGTCCCTGTCTTGTTTTTTCCCCTGTTCAGGACTTGCATGCCTACAGAACAAGCTACTTGAATGGGAGAAATATCTCAGATTAGTATTAGAAGTGGAGTCCCTGAAGCTTGGCTTTTTTGTTACTTAATTGTTTACAAATAATTATTTATTTCATTCAGTGAATATTTATTGAGTGCTTATTACGTGTCAGGTGCTGTTCTAAGTTAAAAAAATGTCTTTGCTTCAAAGGAGCTTGCATTCCAATGGAGTAAGATAGACTAAGCATAAATTGTGTAATAAGAGCTATGAAGAGAGATAAAACGGGGAGAAGAGTGGTTGGGGAAGTGCTAGTTTGGATAAGATGATTAGGGAAAGCATCTTTATAAGCTTCGTTTGAGCAGACACTCAACTGAATGGACTGAGAGACCAGTTTGTGTGGCTCTTTGGAAGGAGTAGTCTAGGCCGAGGGAAGAGCAGGTTCTAAGGACTGAGGTAGGAGCTTGTTCACAAGGAGCATTTTCTGGAGTGGCAAATATCAGGAGACGTCAGAGTGGGCCTTGGAAGGTGTGGAGGCAGAAAAACAAAAGGTACGTTCCAGGTGGAATTAATAGCGTGGGCACAGGCCCAGCCGCAAGGACCAGACTCTTCCACGTGGTTAGAAGGTAGAAGTCAACAACCTTGGAGCCCTTAGAGGATTCCTTGGAGAGCATGTGGTTCCAGACCCTTATTTCACAGATGAGGGAACTGGGCCCAAAGAGGGCTCAGGGCTAGAGCCCAGATTTTCTGACTCTATGACTAGTGTCTCCTTCTTCCTGCCATCCCGCTTCCTTCCAAGTTGGGACTAGTGCCAGACACAGGAATTTGCAAGTTACTCTGCAGACAGTGACACATCCCTAAAAGTTTGTGACATAAGTGGTACAGTGGAGAGGACTTGGGGCCAGAATGCAGAAGACCAGCAAACTCCAGTTCTGTTTGTGACCACTGTCTGACTTGGGATGAGTCCCTTCTGCTCTCCAGGCCCACTTTGTCATGTGGTAACCGAGTAGGCTGGGTCCACTGAGTCAGCTGGTTCTCTAGGTAGGGCGTGCTTCGGGGCTGAGACAGTGTTTTTGAGGAGTAGGACGCACGTCAGTGTGGAGACTGGGCTGCTGTTCTGACAGCTGGC